ACAGCTAATGATAGTATGGTTCTTACTGTGACCATTTTCACCAAAGGGGAAAAAGTTTCTTTATAATTTATACCCTCCTTTTGGCTGTAGCCCTTGGCTACAAGCCTTGCTTTGAACCTTTCTACTTCTCCAGTAGATTTGTATTTAATCTTATAAATCCACTTACATCTAATAGCAACATTCCCTTTAGGCAACTCTATTAGTTTCCAAGTGTTGTTGTCCTGCAATGCCTGGATTTCAACTTGCATTGATTCAATCCACTTAGGATCTTTATTGGCCTCAGCAAAGGAAGTAGGTTCTGTTAACACAGAAATTGCAGCAACAAAATCTTGATAATGTTTAGACAAGTGATTATATGCAACACACTCATCTATAGGATGCTTCACTTGTGTACCCATATTTAGAGGCATAAAATATTTCATCCAAACTGGTGGATGAACTCCTCTTGTAGATCTTCTATTCACCACCGGTTGAGAATCATGAGGTATAGAACCATGACCTTGAACTGTCTCTTCTACTGTATCTTGTTCACTTTTATCAGTCAAATTGTTGTTTACTTCTTTATCACACTGAACTTCTTGTACACACCTATGATCAACCTTTTCTTTGTCAATCATTTCATCATTTACAGGCTTACATCTTGTGTTCAGCATGTCATTATCCAAGTTATTAACAAATGGACCTTCTCTTCTTTCATCTACAGAAGTTATGAAAGAAAAGATTGACTCTCTGAATATCACATCTCTACTCACAAAAAAACTACCGGAGGCCAAATCTAACATGATATAGCCTTTCTGTGTTTCTGAGTATCCCATATGTACTGCAACCATTGTTCTGGATTCTAGTTTATCACTCTCAGTTAACACCTTAGCATAGCACAAACAACCTAACACTCTTAGATGAGATAGCATTGGCTTACTCCCATGCATCATTTCATATGGAGATTTACCTCCCAGAGTTCTGCTAGGCATCCTATTTATCAAGTAAGCAGCTGCAAGAACACAGTGACCACAATATGTTAAAGGAATTTAACCCTGAAACCTTAGAGCCCTAGTTACTTCTAAGAGATGCCTATACTTTCTTTCAACATCTCCGTTTTACTGTGAAGTATAAGGACATGATCTCTGATGAACTATACCTCTTTTCTTAAACAAAGTAGCACACACAGAGTTTATAAATTCAATTCCATTGTCAGACCTTACCATCCTTACCATTTTATCAGATTGTGTCTTAACAAATCTCAGAAAATAATCTAAAGCTACACGCACATCTGCTTTACTTTTTAACAAAAATAACCAAGTCATCCTTGAGAAATCATCAACAACTATAAGAAAGAACCTGTTACCATCAAAAAGTTGTTTGTTTGTATGGACCCCCCCCACATATCCAAATGAATCAAATAAAAAATTTGACTACTTTTAATACTACTAACTGAAAACACATTCCTGGTTTGTTTTGCACAAGGACAGACTGTACACTCACTTAACACTTTATTCACTACTTCTGAATTAACAGGAAAATTTTTACTCAAAATATGTGCTGCTCCATGTCCTAGCCTCTTGTGCCATACATTCACTTCTTTTGCTGATAACTGTTGTACCTCTGGCTTCTTAACAGGTACAGTAAATGACTTGTGCTTTAACTAATCTTATGCCAAGTTCCTTAGCAGCAAGTGTAACCCATTATCTTCTTTACCAACTTCCCTCACCTTGCCAGTGCAAAGCTCCTGAAACACACAAAAATGTGGGAAGAAAGTAACTGAACAATTCAACTCCTTGGTTACCTTACTTACTAATAGTAAATTGTATTTAAACTCTGGTATGTGATACACATTTGTAATCACACTTCTTGGAGATATGTGACATAACCCTGTATGAGACACATATGATACTTCTCCAGTTGGTAAGTATACAGGTTTTGGCTCTTTGATCTTAACAATAGACTCATCAGTAAGCATGTATATATTTGACACCATATGATTAGATGCTCCTGCATCTATGATCCAGGCCTGTTATTTTCAGAAACCAACAAAGCTTTACCTGCAGTATTAGCCTGAGTTTCATGAGCATGAGTTGTATCTTCTGATTTTGACCCACATCCTTGATTATGCTTTAGCATTTGCAGAATTTGATGATACTGATCTTTAGTGAAATTGCACCCTTGCAACTGATTTGAACATTCCTCTATATTGCTCATATGGTTCTTCACAGGCACATTAGTATTATCTCCATAGTTGAAAGATACTTCATCAGACACATTCTCATAACTGCTCTATTTCATGTACTGTTACTCACTTTTCTTTTAGACTTGAAATCTGCAGGATACTCAATCAGCTTATAACATTGGTCCTTAGTGTGTCCCTTGCATTTGCAAAAGTCACACACAACTGAAAAATTCTTCTTGAATTTGTTAAACCCTTGTGCACTAGGACCTCCTCCAGTTCTTAAATACATTGCCAGAGGATCCACTCCAGAACCACTTATAGAACTTAACCTTATACTCGACCTACTAGATGTCATCTTTTGACATTCATCACTTACTATCATAGCATATGCTTGATTCACTGGAAGAATGAGACTCATCAACAAGATCTGACTTCTAGCCTGTCCAAACGACTCATTCAGTCCCATCAAGAACTAATACAACTTTTGTCTATTTAGATGATCCACAAACCCTCTTGCTTTTTCACAATTACATCCAGGAGGTGACACCAAGGCCTCAAATTCATCCCACAGAGTTTTAAGCTTTGTAAAATATGCAGACACAGAATCAGTGCCCTGTTGTAATGTTGTTATTTCTTTGTGTAGACTAAAGGTCCTTGATCCATCTAACTGATCAAACCTTTCCTTTAAGTCATTCCACACACTCTGAGCTGATGATGCAAATGCAACTCCTCCTAACAAGCTTTTAGACACTGAATTTAGAAGCCATGAGAGAACAATGGCATTAACCCTTTCCCACTGACCTCTTAGTTCTGCACTCACATCATCTTGTTTATAAGATCCATCTACCAAACCAATTTTGTTTCTTCCAAGTAATGCCAACTTAATTGACCTACTCCACAAGGCATAGTTCTCGATTCCTATAAGTTGGAATGAGATCAGATTCACACCGCTGATATCAGCAGGACTCAAGAACAAATGATGATTATAATCAACCCCTTGACTCATCGACATAGCTGGAATGGAGCTTGGATTTCCAGAAATTCCACCAACACTACTGGTTCCTATAGTTTGTTCACCAGTTACCCCTTGAGTCATGTTTGTAATCTTTTTTCTTCTTCAAATTGATTTCCGGAAGCTAAACAGAATTATCAAGACGAACAGAATTCTGTAGATGAAACAAAATTCTCCAGATTCTGATCTTCAAACGTAATACACTGATGACTTCTTTAAACTTTTATCACCCGCTCGGATACCATGAAGTTATACAAAATAGAAGGCAAATTGATTGAAGAAGATGAAGATCTTGATTATTATTTAATGACCTTTACAAAGACTAATGACTTGTATTTATACAACTTGTTTTTGACTAACTTACCTAACCTTTTGTAACTAACTTCTTGAAAGTCCTTCTAACTAACTTCTTGAAAGTACTTCTACCTAACTTTAAATACTCTCTTTCTTTTTAACCCTCTCAATACTTAGTCTCATTCAAAGAGGATCCATATTTCTTCCTAAGTTTTTAGATATTGACAACGGTATTGGATATATGTGTAATTTGGAGCAAACATGCTAAAACATAAACTATTTAATAATTAATTGACAGAACATCGATAGAGTCGAGCATAACAAAATCAAGGAAAATACAATAAGACAGAGAACAGTAATAATATATAGTATTATAATCGAAACAATGAAAACAATAGGTACTAAAAATAAAATCGGAGAACAAGATAGTATGTGAGTAACTAAGAACAACCCTGATAAGGGAATCAAACACTACTCAACTACCTACTAATTAACCTTCTATCCCAATCTTCAATCTCCACATATATCTTCCTATCTAGAGTCATGTTCGCTATAAGCTGCAAATGTGTCTTTCTTTCCTTTGATTGATCTCCTTATTTTGGTTTTCCATTCCTTAGAAGTTGTAGTAAACAAATCACGCTCTGAAATCCAATTATCACCAAAAAGATTATCATTAACAGTACTAGAGAGTCTAATCAAGTGTTCTTCATTCTCAGGAGTGCTAATTGCATTCTGAATAAAAGGATGATTAATTAGTTCATCGACACTCAATAATCTACCTGTAAAATCACAAAACAAACATTCCGTCACAAAACCTTTAGCCATGTTAGAAACATCAGTTCGTATAAACTCTTCATCAGGCATATCAAGACCACATATCTGACGTTTATATTTGTTAATCTGTCCCACATACCACGTGGGCTTCCCGGTGAGAATCTTTGCGACAACGCACCCTACAGAACAAATATCAAAAATCTGATGCTTGCAACTTGTTTCTTCTTTGGCAGATCCAAAATCAGCAATTTTTACCAACTTATTGTTCGGATAAATAAGTATATTGGTCAATTTTATATCCCCGTGGATATAACCTTTCTTATGAATGTGACCGATACCCTTCAAGAGTTGATAAGCATAGAGTGCTGCCATTTGTTCTGAAATTTTTCCATTAAAAAGTATAAAATCTAGTAAAGTGCCACTAGGGGCGCATTCAAGCAAGAGATTATACGTCCACTTTGCATATTCGACGCTCTCGTCTTCCCCAAAACATCGAACGATATAAGGCGAACCTTTTAATTGGTTCAAAATTTTTCCTTCTTCTCGTAGCACAGAGTACTCATCCGATCCAATTTGTGCAGATTTGACAGCTACAGCTTGGGAATAATTGTTGGCAGAAGAATGTGTTGCCAAATATACAGGGCCATTTAATCCAACCCCAAGAACATACTGTTTAATCCAACGCTTATCTGTTGTAATCATACTTATAATGAATGAATGAATGAATGAATGATGAGAAAAATAGGTGGTATATATAACAAGTTGAAAAATCCGTTTCCAACTCACAAAGGGATTCAGAGAACAATAAAAGTTGAAAAATCCGTTTCCAACTGAGAAAGGTATTCGTAATTGGAACACAAATTTGCAATTCTTACTTTTGAATAGAGGCAAAGAAGCCATGATGTATACAACTACTAATTGTATCTCGTACGATATCATTGATTTCATACTTGAAAGAAAATCCCAGAGCTCTCAATTTCTTTGATGAAATCTCTGAGGGGATTACTGAATCATGTCCTCCGTCATGATCTTGCCTGTAAATACAGAGAATTAGACTATAAACTTCATGTGGACTATTTAAGTACGTAGAAATCGATGGATGGATAACCTCTCTATAGCAGGGTAAGGATACTCTTTTTTAAGGTGATCGATAACTTCAGACATTGCCCAACTCCGAGCACAACATATATATCGTCCTTCTGCTTTAATATTCTCCATGAGGAATATGTGGGCACGACATATATCCTCTATATGAGCTAATGCTATTGATCCCATTCTTGTGTTCACAGCAGTCAGTATAGCTGACAGTTCAGGATCACCTATAAAATTAAAGGACGTGTTTTTATGTGTTACAAATATTGTTGGTGCATATTTAGTGCGTTTCTTAACAAATATATATGAAGTTTAGACCAAAGTTATTGAGTTCTGTCAAACCTGTTATTGGTGACAAGAGAACTCGAATGCTTGATGGAACTGTTGGAGTGAGGAATGGACCAGCTATAGTTGGTGTTATTGTTGAAACCAAATCAATGCCATTTTCTTTTGCAAACTGAAATGCTGCATCCTCTGTCAAAACCTTTAGTAGTACATAAACCTATAAAAGTGCATTATAAAATAATCGATAAATAACGTAAAATGATAGTAGTACTTTTGACATATGTTGTGCAAAAAATGTTGTCAGATCCTTCAAATAATGCATTACTTTTTAAGGATCCGGTAGACGTATAGGAAAAGAGAATTACCCAACCACTTGGTTTTGTGTTCTTAACATGTTGGATAGGTATTTTGCAAGATTCATCGACAAAAGGTCTCCATTTCCCAAAGTTGTCTCTGGCTGTGATTGTGCTGATTGATGATGTGAAAACAACTTTTTTTACAGAATTGGATTTCAAGCAGGATTTCAGAACATTCAAGGTCCCCTGGATTGCTGGCTCTATCATATTTTCTTGAACATAGCTCTCTTCAAGTTAAAATAAGCCAAAAAATTACTTTCTTTAGTTAAGGGAAAAAGGGTCAAATAATATAGGAGTAAATTTGAAACTAATGATTTAGATAAGCATATATATATTTACCAACATTTTCTGTGGCTTGTGGGCAGAATTCCATGGGTGCAGCAACATGGAATAGTCCAGTGCAACCTCTCATTGCTTCATCAAAGCTTCCTTCTTCTCTTAAATCAGCTTTGAACAATCTTAGCATCTCACTGCCCTCACCCAACTTCAATAGATGTGATGACTTCTCTGTAAAATTCAACCTAAATATTACCTTTTCACTCAGGCCCTTATAAGTTGAGAGTAAAGGCAGAGACGAAGTCAGGATTTGAATAGAGATGACACCATTGCTTTAAAGGAAAACCTTCTAAGCTCAAACTCGCAGTAATGCGAGATACAGTTACAATTTCAATCAACGCACCAAATGAGTTTTGATTATGAGAGCACATAATTAAATATATTAAGCGTAAACGACTATCTATCTATCTATGTATCTATCTATCTATCTATCTATATATATATATATATATAGTTATCAAATGCATGTGCACCCTCACATCACCAAATGGATCCGCCTCTAAGTACAAGGTAGTTTGGAGAGTTATGAAGGTATATCATAATACCTAAATATTGTGTTTGGAAAATTGTAGGGACGTTCATAGGAATGGAAGAGGTTGTTTGCAACAAATTTGTAATGTTTAGAAAAAATTTGATAATATATAGTCGAACATGACTTAACTTCACATAAACATATCTCTTAGTGTTTAAAATATTGATCTATATGAGTTATATGTGTCAAATTAAAGTTCTTGAATTCTAGTTTCCAAAGCTTGAAATTATTCTTCATTTCGACTTTCTTACAAAATACTATGAGTATTTTATTGAAGGTTATCTTATTAGAATAATTATAGACCACAAACACGAGCTGGAGTATGGATGAATTTATAGTTTTTAGCTTATTTATCTTTTTTATTTAAAAATAAATTCTTAAAAACAGGTTTTATTCTATCCAAACATTATAAAAGTGATTAAAAATTATGTTACTTTAAACATACTTAAAATAAATCAATTCAAACATATTCTTAAATTATTGAACCGAATTTTGACATGTTTAACATGTATGTAAGAAAATTTAATACACACACTACTGCTACATACTGTTTATCTAGATCAATATTGGCATGCTACTTTACTAGAGAATTCACAGGTCCCACCAATATCTCGTGAAGTACTAGCATATGTTAAAGTAAGTAAATTTTCACATAGCTCGAGAAAAATTACGAGCTTTAGCGGGCGTTTGATTATATTTTATTGTTAGATTTGAAAAAAAAAAAAATTAAGGTAAAAGATAATATTTAAAAATTGACAATTTGAAGTTCAATTTCAGAGAACCGTAAAAATAGGTCGGAAACTATATATTAGGTCGTAAACAATGTCTTTGCCCCAAGTTTTTTTGTATAATAGGTCGTAAACTATGTCTTTGTCCACCTAACTTAAAAATTTTAATTATATACGGTACGAAAAAAAATTATATACACTATCAACATGAAGTTATGCTTGTTTATTTTGGGGGCAAAGGCGGTGGAGCCAAAAAGTAAGGTTAATGCTTCGAAATTCTTATTTTGTTTAAAAAGCTATTAAGTTATAATTAATAATTTATACATATTTAATAAATTTCTAATTATAAATTCAGAATCTAAATTTCATCGAATGTGTAATCAACACACTGATTGGGGTTTGGTGTGTGTGGGGGAGGGGGTCATTAGTTTGGAAAGAAGGATCAATATGGGTTGTGGTGCAATAGTGGGACTGCTTCATCCATGATCAAAGATTTCAGGTTCGAGCCCTGGAAATGAAAAAGATCTTGTTGGGAGCGTCACTCTCGAATGGACTTAGCAATGCGCAATTCGAATTTAGTCAGAACTTCAATATGGACTTCCGAACACCGAACAGAAAACAAAAAAATTCAGAAAGAATGAAGGATAAAGAAAATGAACCAGGATGGCGCACAGCAGCATGGACCTTGTAGCCCATTTGAAGGAGTGATTTAATGAGCCATGTGCCTATGAAGCCTGTCCCTCCTGTTACACAATAACTCTTATTCTCCTCCATGCTAATTTCTTCTTGCACTATTCAATAAAAGAAAGCACTACTATTTTTAGCTTGATTTCAAGAGAGGAGTGGTTAACTAGTAGCATTCAAGTTTGGGTAAAAAAACAAACAAATGTGGAGATGATAACTTTTGTAACCAGTGATTCCTCCTTGGTTGTCTTTATATGACTTTTCTATTTATTCAGGAGATAAACAAACAATATTTGTCTGTCCATTCTTGGAAAGCCCCCATTCACTTCACCATTTCTCTCTCCGTTCATATTTTATTAAGGTTGAACCTATCGGTAGCCCTCTAAAGTTGGTATTAATTTTCACTTATATATTTTAACTAGATTTTGTTTATTTTAAACACCTTATGTTGAGTCTCGTTATGTCATTTTGATATTTTTTGCTGACTTGACATATTGTGTGTGTTGCACCCATTTTGAGCGTGAGGGGTTTTTTTTTAAAAATAAATCCTTCTTCTTCTTCACTTTTTAGCCCTACCACTTGTTCCACCTTCCACCATGAAAAATCATGATAAAAAATCTTACAAAATATGAAAAAATAAAATATAAAAATCATCACATTAATTTTGAAAAGATTTTTTAGAACAAGACACACATTTGTTTTTCAAAAAAATAGAAGATGAATGTCATATATGATTTTAAAAAAAAAAAAGAAAAAAAACCTAAAATCTAATGATTTAAAAAAAAAAAAAAAAAAAAAAAATTGGAAGAAGAACCAAAAAATGGTTGTAGGGTTGGGGAGGCAAAAGGGACGTAAGGCAGATGGGGTAAGGGTGGGGTGATGTAAGGTGGTGTGGGATGGTAGAAAATAGGTAATTTTATTTATTTATTTTTGCTGAAAAATTAGTTGTTTTTTAATAATTTATTTTAAAATTATTATTTGTACACTCAAATGTCACGCATGCCAACTTTTAATTAGTCATCATGTCATGTCATCCGCAAGTGTATTACACAAACTTTGTAATTTTAGCTGATTGTCAAAAAGGTGTCAAAATGACACAGCGGACCCCTACTTGAGGTGTTTAAAATGAGCAAAGCCTATTTGAGGTGTCTAAATGAAAATTGGTGTCAACTTTAGGGGGCAGCCAATGGGCTTAGCCTTTTATTAAAAGTGTTACTCCCACCCTCTTATTTTATACAAACAAGATCGTGTTTAACTGGACACAAAGTTATCGACAAGTTAGGAATATTGTGAGCTGTGAGATGTTATTTATGAGGGTCCTTATATGCCAATTATAGAAGTAAAAGATGGGGATGTCATAAGGGTTGTTCTCAAAACCCAACAGCAATAAAGTGAAGTTGAGAAAAATCACAAAGCTAGGAAGCTCTTAATGTGTGGAATTGGAGCAAATGAATATGATCTGATTTCATCTTGTGAATTAGCCAAGGAAATCTGGAATCGCTTGAGAATAGTGTACGAAGGTACTAAGCAAACAAAGAAATCTAAGTTAGATCTCTTAACTACTCAGTTTGAAAGCTTCACCTTGGAAGAAGGTGAATCTATTCATAAAATGCGTACTAGATTCTCCACCATTACAAATGGGCTCATGTTCCTAGAAGAGCATGTCACTGCATGGAAGCAGGTTACTAAAATATTAGAGATTCTTCCTAGATCTTGGATTGACAAACTTGATATGGTCTATGAGGCAGAAGATCTTGAAGTACTGTCAAATGCTCTATTTGAACATCTTCAAGTTCATGAGATGGACAGAAGAAAAGACAGTCTCACTCTCAAAGGCAAAAACAAAGAAGGGACCAGATCCGTGACAAGTCAAGCCAAAGAGAAATTGCCGATTATGGGGTGAAGAAAGCTCTGACAGCCTGGGGAAGTACCTCAAGTGATTCAGATGATTCTGAGCACTCTGATGTTGCTTTCATGGCAAAATTTGATGATGAAGAAGCTGAAGAAGAGGTAATCCTTTTTTATCTTAAACAAAACTTGCATGTTACTCTGTTAAGAAGTTGAGGAATCTAGCAGCTGCTTTGATTGACTCAATCACTGAGTTAACTACTGAAAAGGATTTGATAAATAACAATCTAGATGTGTTTTATGATGAAAAATAACCTTGGCTTCGCAAATATCTGTAATGGAAGAACAACTGATGATTCTGGAATCTGAAAATCTAGAACTCAAGAAAAAATTAGTGAAGTTGAGTAAGAACTATCCCAGAGGAAAGGCTGAATCTAGTAGTTCACAACTCAACCTGGAAACTAGCTTGAATACTGCTAAAATGAAACTAGCCATAGCTTTGGAGAGAAATGATCAGTTAGAAAGGAACCTGGTTCGTGTCAAAGAAGAACTGAATAAATCTCTCAAATGGACCACATTTTCAAAAATGCTTACCAATCTTACTAGTTAGGGTCAAAATGATGGGAAGGGGTTTGGAAATTCAAGCATAAGTCCTTCTTATAATCCCCATAGCAAAATGTGTCTGTGTCTGACAATTTGTTGTGTTTTTATTGTGGTCGTAATAATCATTTGAAGAAGGACTGTCCAACTTGGAAAAGGAATCAAGATAACCTCTCAAACTATTCCAAACAGAGGAACAGGCAGAAGAAGGGACCTGGTTAGCAGAGGAACAGGCAGAAGAAGGGACCTGGCCGTGCTTCTGGTCCTAAGTTCAAGAAAATAAGTATGCCTCACTAGACAAAGAATTCTCTTATCACTCATTTATCTGCTTACTGGGAACTCCGACTAAAATGGGTTCGCAAGGCTATCAAGTGACATGGTATGCAGGTGAGATGAAGTAGCAACAGTCAATGTCGGTTCATGAATGGCGGATGCTCAAAGCACGTGACTGGAAAACTGAAAACTTTCTCTCTCTCAAGGCAGTGAAAATCACGACATGTACTCACAGGGAAGCTTTTTAAAATAGTCACTACAATAAAAGTGTGAATTACATGGAATTAGTATAAAAATTTGCGGGAAAATAAGTTTCCTGCAGATTTTCATACTAATCCCCAGAAAAATCCCCATGTAATTCACACTTCTTTGTAGTGACTGTTTTAAAAAGCTTTCCAGTTATTGCATATTTTATTGTTGCTTTATCTTGAGTTAAGTACCTAGAATTGAGTATCTTATCGTTGAGTTGAACCCTATTGTCTCTGAGTTGAGTTGAACTATGTTTCAGAGAGTTGAGTCTCTTATTATTGAGTTGAGCCCTATTTTCTCTTAGTTAAGTTGAATTATGTTTCTTTGAGTTGGCTTGAGTTGAGTTGAGTGAGTTGAGAAGAGGTAAGTACGTTTCTTTTCCATCAGTTCAAGCTTATGTTTATGCTTTAAAATTCTCCTTACATGCTCGTACATTCCATGTACTGACACAATTTGGCCTGCATCGTTTCATGATGTAGACACATGTAGCTAGGGTCATCAACAGGCGCTTCATTGATACCACTTGCAATTTGAATTAGCTATGGTGAGCCTCATTGCTTCCGGAGGATTTCATTTACTTTCAGTTTTGTCAGGATGTTGTGGGTCTTGTCCCGACTTCCATCTTTGTCATTTAAAGGCTTCATAAATAGACAATAGAGTTTGAGAAGTCTGTTTCATTTATTTTGTTAAATGTTTTAAAGACTTGAGTTACCTATTTCTGGCTAGTTGAATATATTATTATATTCAGAGTTAATCATTTGAGTTAAAGCTTGTATTTGAGTTCAATGAATTTTATTCAGTTTTAAGATTTGTATGCTTGAGTTAGTCTTCCGCTTGTAGTCAGCCAGGATGAGGATTCGCGTGGGGACCAGCAATGGTTCTTGAGTGTCGGTCACGTTCAGGGTGTAGGCTCGGATTGTGACAGTAGCATATTGTATTATTTTAATGAATACAATATTTGGATAGATTGTATCGTTCTACGTCGTTACATAATGTGCACTTCAACAATTTACATGATAAACCTATAAGAAAAATAGAATGCGAGGTAGAGCTACTGTGAAAATATATAATAAAAGATGAAATATGATTATTAAATGTTAAATTTTTTAAAAGATATAAAACATAAGTTTAATTTATACATAATTTTTCAAGTATTAAGAATCACCAACCCTTTATTTTATGTATTTTCAAATATATACTTTATTAAATAGTTAACTTCAACTTCAAGGATCAAAATCGCACACCTTAAATAATTGAAGGTTAAATATGTATAGTCCAATAACACAAAAACTAAAAATTTGTATTATGCAATAATATAAGATTAAAAATCACTATTTTAATAAATAAAGATAAAATAAAACAAGAATATCAAGATAACAATGCAAACATCATATATATATATAAAAGAGAAGGCCCGCCACAAACCAAAATTCCCTTTTAATTTATTTATTTCTAAAACTAGTCTTCTCCTTTCATGAAAAGTTGCGACATTTATGAAAAATTGTGACTTTTATGAAAAGTTGCGACTTTAATGAATAGTTGCGATTTTTATGAAAAAATGTGACTATTATGAAAAGTTACAACTTTAATGAAGAGTTGCGACGTTTATGAAAAGTTGTAACTTTTATGAAAGATTGTGACTTTTCCGAAGGGTTGCAACTTTTCCAAATAGTTGTAACATTTCTGATAAGGCACAATAAACATTTGTTCACACTACCTTTTGTTGTCTATAAATAGAGGGATTTCCTCTTATTTTAAAACAACGAAAATTCTAAACCTCCTCTTCTTCTTCTTCTTCTTCTTCTTCTTCTTCTTCTTCTTCACAATTAAATATTTATGTATTTTTCTCCTGTTGAGTGACTCACTAACACCATTGTTTATGTTAGACATCCTGATATGTATTTTTAGAGTCATTAATTTATGCTTATGTTATTAAGGATAAATGATAAGATGTAATAATTTTCACATATTATTAATGTTTGTTACTACGTAATCTTTTATGTAAAATATTATAGTGTTTTAGTTTTAATGATTGATAGATTTTAAATAATATTTTATAAATTTGATGATATTAAATTTTTGCACGAAGCATAAATAATTTTACTAGTTATATTTAAACTAACAATACCGAGAACAATCTCATTGAGTAAAAGAGAGAGCTGGGAACGCGTATAATAAATAATATGGCACGAGCGTCAACTAAAGTTGAAACGAGGGCGGAACATTCTACCGAGTTGCTAGTCAGCTTTTCAATCGTCGTCAGTCGTCACTGCTGTTCTAACAATAATAATCACTTTCCCTTCATCCTCCTCCTCCTCTTTAGTGCCCTATATATATTTATTACTACGCTATTTGTTCATTACTCATTTCTAATTTCTCTTTTATAACTGCTACATTTTTCTCCAAATTAATCATAATTTCTCAATCTCCAAGTTAGACTCCTCCTTCTGCAAATTATATCAGGTATTTTTTTTTCAGATTTTGATTTAGTTTAGAAAGCGTATCTTCTTTGTTTTCGAACATTAGAGGAAACGAGAAATTGAAAGTTGATTTTGTTTTTGTGATTCATTTTTCATATCTGAAGGAGTCGAATTGGGATTTTTTTTTAAAAAAAATAAATTCTGCCTCTATAGTGGAAAAAAACAGATCAATTTTTTTTTTTGGCGTTCTGGTCTTCCTTTGTAATTAAATAGATTTATATAGCAATTTTTGGTATTGTATCTGGGAAGTAGCTAAGTTAATTAGGTAAATCTAGTGTGAAAAAAATTAGGGATTTTTGTGATAAGAAGGGGATGGAGTTAGAAATATTCAGGAGATTATATTTGAAAAGCTTGTTTAGAAAGGAAATTGAAAGGAAATGGCACTTTTTCATTATTATTAGTACTATTTTTGAATAAAATTGAGGGCATGGAAAGGGAAATAGGAGGGGAGTCAAAGTCACCGACAAGGTGAAAATTCAGTTAATCAATTAACTAAGCTATTAAGATTCTGGAGGAAATGGTACATCATGTTTTCACAGGCAATTAACTACATATCCGTGGTGCAAGGTTTTCCTTTAAAAATCATAAACGATTCTAATTTAGCAATCATTTGCAGTAAATTAGCACTAATTAGCTTCGTTCTGTTCCTTGTTCTTGTATATCCATTAGCTCAAAAGTAGAAAGCTTGAATGTCTTATGATAGAGGGTTGAATAATTGATGTGAGTTGGATCTCTGTATTTTTCACAGGTGGATTTCATTGAAGCAGATATTAAGTGCTAGTGAGAAAGAGTTTGTGCATAGAGCAGCTAATGACAGCCGTATAGTATGGACTCGGACCATTTTGTTGGTTATGATGTGACCGGTAGTGATTTGTCATACTCTTCATACCCTACTGTTAGTCCTCTAGAGAATAGACCGTTTGGAACCTCGAAATTTGATTCAGGAAATTCGCCACTTGCGAACTATTTTAACTCTGAGACCTTTACCACAGTAAGTGCTTACCAGGAGCAGCACAGCTGTACAGAGAATCTTTCAGGTGCTACTTCTTCAAGTGATTCCTCGCTGGATTATAACCAATATTTCCATCGGCCAAGCCCCTCGGAAGATCATCTTCCAGAAGCTCCTAACAGTCGGAACATGAAACATACTCTGCTGCAGTTGGAGTCTGCTTTAATGGGGCCAGACGAAGAGGCAATGAAATCCAGCCGTTATCTTGGTGAAAATATGGGGGCACAAACATCAGGTCAGAGGTATAAAGCGTGGAACAAGGAAGCCCAAGTTGTGCATCAACCTCAACAATCACTAGTTTCCATCCTTAATGGAATTCAAAGTGATAAGCGAGACAATGTAATGAAGGACTTACCCTTGCAGGGTGTTCCGTCTAGCAATATGAAGCAGCTGCTTATAGCATGCGCCAGAGCCCTTGCTGAAAACAAGCTAGATGATTTTGAAATACTGGTTGCTAAGGCAAGGAGTGTTGTGTCCGTTACTGGAGATCCCATCCAGCGTCTTGGTGCTTACATTGTAGAAGGCCTCGTAGCAAGAAAGGAGTTGTCTGGAACCACCATATACAGGAGTTTGAAGTGTAAGGAGCCAGCTGGTAAGGACTTGTTCTCCTACATGTATATCCTCTATGAAATATGTCCTTACCTAAAGTTCGGCTACATGGCTGCAAATGGTGCAATAGTAGAAGCGTGCAGAAATGAAGATCGCATCCACATTATAGACTTCCAAATTGCACAGGGGACCCAATGGATGACTCTCTTACAAGCTCTTGCTGCACGACCCGGTGGTGCCCCCTATGTACGTATTACAGGAATTGATGATCCAGTTTCACAGTACGCTCGGGGAGATGGATTGGCTGCAGTTGCCAAACGGCTATCAGCAATTTCTGAGAAATTCAACATTGCAGTTGAGTTTCATGCAGTGCCAGTTTTTGCCCCAGAAATCACTTGGGATATGCTTGATGTAAGGCCTGGTGAGGCTCTGGCAGTAAACTTTCCTTTGCAACTTCACCACACCCCTGATGAGAGCGTTGACGTGAATAACCCTAGGGATGGTCTCATTAGGATGATAAAGTCGCTCTGCCCCAAGATAGTCACTTTGGTGGAGCAAGAATCAAATACAAACACAGCTCCGTTTCTCCCTAGGTTTGTAGAAGCTCTAGATTACTACCATGCAATGTTTGAGTCCATAGATGTGACCCTACTAAGGGACATGAAGGAGCGGATCAATGTGGAGCAGCACTGTTTGGCTAGGGATATAGTGAATGTCATAGCATGTGAGGGCAAGGAAAGAGTGGAACGTCACGAACTATTGGGAAAGTGGAAATCCAGGTTCATGATGGCAGGTTTTCAGCAATATCCTTTGAGCTCTTATGTGAATTCAGTGATAAAGGACCTCATGAAGCGTTACTCGGAGCATTATACACTGGTGGAGAAAGACGGGGCTATGCTGTTGGGGTGGAAGGAGCGGAATCTAGTCTCTGCCTCTGCTTGGTTTTAACTGAGTTACTTCAGTAACGAAGTTGTAGTTCATTATGTGGAAACATATGGTTTGCCTTCTTTGTATTACTTAACCAGACAATAGGATTGATCAAGTAATTATACTCATGTTATATAGTTTCAATTTTCTGAAATTTTAGTATATAAAAATGTTTTTATGTTTATTGTTCAAGTTATCCTTGATATTTATTTGTTAACTGTAAACAATTATTTCTCGTTCTTGATGATTTGTTGAGCAATTTTGGAGAAGCCATGTTCAGTTTCTCTAGTTTAAATAAAATAGAGGTGTATATGGTTCGCTTTGAGATCACAAGTTCGAGCTAGGGACAGTTACTAATGCTTACATTAGGATAGACGGGGAGCAGGGATTTTCTAAATAATGTTCACGAAGGATGTTTTCTGCACCTAACTGCACTCTCCATCCCAAAACTACATCAACTATATTCATTCTGCTCAGGTACATTTCGTTTCAATACAAATACAAACAAACAATTTAGCAATCTATAAATAAACTGAAGTGGAACTTATAACGAGATTCACACATGTTTCAATTGGACTTCCAAAAAATCAATAAATTATAAGTAACCATGGTTCATATAAAGAATTCTACTTTGAGCATATGCTTGATATCCCAATTATGACGAGCTGATAGAAGTTCATATGGACATGTCTAATACAGATGCAAGGCCATATCCACCTGCAGGGCAATCGTCCTCCAGGGCAAGATGCCGAGGCTTTGGTTTAGCATACTCAGCAACGATAACCAATCCATCAAGGAACTACAAAAGAGAAGAGAAACGAAAGAACATAACTTTACCCTCCTGAAACCAAACAGCAATTACTATGTCAAATAACATGCATTGACACATCCATCAACAACTATAAAAGAGAAGATGGAAAAAATGCATGGACTAGGAGAACGTTAGTTAGAAAAAAAAATCGCTAGCATCACAACTAACTTACCTGGCCATCCATGGCCTCTAAACCAGCTGCAGATTCTTCCATAGTTTGATATCTAACATAACCACAACACGTTGAATAACCAGTTATACCATCTGTCAACACTCTTGCTGCAAAAGCATAACATACTACATAAATACATCTATATTGTTTCATCATATGGATCTCTCATGTTACGTTTTAACCAGTGAGATATGAAAGGTACAAGTAAAACATACCATCAAGCACTTCACCAAATTCGGCAAATGCATTTCGAAGAGATTCAGATGTAGTATGTCTGCTAAGACCTGAATGGAGGGTGGAACTTCAGAAACCATCAGTTTCATGGTCCAGCTCCAAATAATAGATGTAAAGTGAGTTCCATATTACTCACAAAAAGTCTAAAACAACTCCAAATTTATATTCATAGCCAAATACAATTTCAATTTCCAGGTATTATTTTTCACTTTGAAAACAAAAATTACATTTTTTTTCAAATTTCACAATGAAATTGGGCCAAACGCGCAGGGAAAAAGCAAGCTCCATATGCATGTGGATAATAGTTAATCTCTAAATAAAATCTTTTTAATCTCTCAAAGAGAATCAGATACACCAATTTCATGATATTTTAAAGCAAATAACATAGATCGATCCAAATTCTAGTCATTTAACGCAATTATCATTTGAAATAATCGATCTGCAAGGGAAAAAAACGAAGAAAACTTGATAGGATCAAAAGGATAGAAGGAAGTAACTGACCGGAAACATAGAGATTGGTGGATGGTTCAGGCGGCGGTCCGGTCCTCGGTTGATACAAAGGAACGTTAGCAGAAAATGAATAGAAAACTGCCCGGAGACCTCTCGGTGCTACCGGAATCCTGCCTGCTGCCGCTGCTCTTAAGGCCATTTTGGATTTAGGGAGTTTAGATACTGAAACACTACCAGTTTTTCACTGATCTATTTGAGAAGAACTACAAGTAATTGAGTCTTTTTTTTTATATATATATAGTATATAGAAATATTAACACATTGTTTGAAAGATGATTATTAGCGTTTATATTGTATTGTTAGTCTAAATATAATATTTTTTTTAATTATTATTTAAATTTATTGTATTGTATTGAATTGTTAACTTAATATTTTGTTCTTATTTTGTCTTCTACTTACCTAATTCTATTTTTATCATTTATCCTACCTTGTATACTATAATTTCGTGTAGGCTTATCATCTAGATTATGAATGTATGACATTATGTAACGACTGAGAACGATAAGATCTATCCAAACAGTGTACTCCATCTATTTCTATTTATATGTCACCATTTTAGATTTCATGTCCTAAAAAACTATGTAAGTTTACTATTCTACTCTTATTTCGTGTTGTCTTGAAGTTAAATTTTCAATAAATGAACTTTAATTAATTTATTTTGATTAATTAAATTGACCAATGAACATAAATTAATCATTTAGTTTTTTTATATTGATCAAATTCATATTTTCAAGATTAATAACTCTCAAGGGTAAACTAAGAAAAATAATGTTATTTATGTATTGATTTTGTGAAATGACAAACACTAAGAAGCATATGTGACATATAGATTGAAACGGATGAAGTATTTATTAAAACAATACAACACAAATCAATTTAAACAAGTATAAATTATAGGAACCACATATTAATTTGTCCTTTAAACAATACATAACAACTATCCAAACAAAATGTAAATATCCGATGGGCCGATTATCAACATTAATTAAAGGAAAAATTGTGCAGAATACCAAATATTTAAACGATATTAAATGTTATAGCTATTGTTTTGGAAAATTGTGACTCGCAGTGGTAGATTTCTTAAATCTTGTTGTTTGTTTAATTTGTATAATTCGCTCAAAATTGTATATGTCGTCTGATTGTATAAATCAGAATTTTGTATAATTGGTTTCTAATTGTATAAATTCCTAATTTATATACGCTTACCGCCTTACCCTAACTATTTGTATACGATTTATGAAGAAACCATAATAAATTACCTTGTTTGTATTTTGACAAGCAAATATTTACTGTTATAACCGTTCTAATACGTGTCAACTTTGACAACTAATCAGCTATTATGTTCCTAGTTTCTACGTAAAACATCTTCCGTACAAATTATATCCTTATTTACCATATTTAAAAAATACTTTTATTCTATAAAATACATTTTGATATAATAAATTATATCATGAATATACACCAAAAAAATAATAATAAATTAACTTAGTCATAAATTATTTTTATATCATAAAAATACATGATGTATTTTAAATATAAAAAGTTAATGCCATGGATATAATACATATATATTCATATTTAATAAACATTTTTCTTTTATAATAAACAAAATTATCATTTACCAACTTCCTCAAATTATTGTTATTTAATTATTATGCCTTTTTAGAGGTTTTTTAAGTAATTTAGTAAATTGTCATTAATATTTCAATATCAGCTACTTAATAAATTAAAATTGGCGAAATGGTCTGATGGACCCTTATACTTGTTCGAGTTTATATTATTGACCCTTCTACTTAACTCCTTATCAATTGAACCCTTAAACTCAATCAAAACAAGATTTTTAAACCCCTCCTACCGTGTGTGTAATTCACTCGCCCATAAATAGATGATATGTCAAATCCATGTCACATAAATCAATAACATGTCATAATTATCTCTATTAACCATTTTTTAAAATTATTAATCAAAAAAATTAAATAAAAAGAAAAATAATAAAATTTCCACACACCAAATTAGGCGCCCCTGTTCTTCTCCCAACCCATTCCCACCGTGAAATAGCCTGAAGCCAACAGATCAGAAAGCCACCGCCACCGCCACCGCTCTTCTTGCCGGCGAGACAATCTATTCTCTCTCTCAAACCCGTCTCCATCTCCACCGCACACTCTCACCATTTTTCGTTCCTCCTTTTCCAATCTCCACAAAATCAGCAACCCTAGGTCGCCGCACTACCAACTTTGGCCGGCAATCCTTTTTCACCGCTGTGACCAACTCCTCGCACCCTCCCCCCCCCACTCTCCTCTCCAATGTCTTCCTTTCACCGCACCACCGGCGACCACTTGCGAATCAGGACTGTCTCTCCTCTCCATTCTCTCCATGCCGCCTCCTATTCTAGCGAAAAGGGATTAGCGCCAAGATCTGCTAGAATGTAGGGAAGAAAGAAAAAAAGGGATATGGCAGGGATTGGGTTATCTGAAAAAGAAGGTGAAATGGAGAAGAAGAAGAATTTTTTTTAAAAAAATAAAATTATTATATTATTCTATTATAATTTTAACAACTTTTTTTAAATTAAAATATGATGTTCACTTGCTTACACGCGCGTGTAATCACACACTCCTGCCAACTCATCCATTTTAATGCCACGTATGTTTGATCAACGGTCAGAGGGGTTTGATATATTATGTTTTATTGAGTTTAAGGGTTCAGTTGATAAAACATCAAGTAGAAGGGCTCATAATATAAACGCAAGTACAAGGGTCCACCAGACCCTTTTGCCATTAAAATTAGGCAAAAGTTGAGTTGAATTACAAATGATCTCTGTTTCACCATTTTTGCAACAAAATACAACACCAATGTATAGTTCTATATAATAACAAACACTTAAATAATAGGATAATTACAGAGATCTAAATTATATTAAATACATAATTACGATGTCAATCCTATTTTGTACTCATGAGGAAGGACACAAACTCCTTATATATAACTAATTCAATAAAAGAAAGAACAATTAAAAATACTAATAAAAGAAGTAGGGAGCCTTTATGGAAAAATGAACAAATGAAGTGAAATCAACTCTTTATACTAAAAATGGGAAAATGCATAAGTACCCCCAGTCTATGTCCAAAATCTCTGAGACACATATAATCTTTACTAAGATCCTATTACCCCCGAACTTATTTTATATATAAGTTTCTACCCCTTTTCGACATACGTGGCACTATCTTGTGGACCTAGCGCGTATTGATAATTTTTTCAACGATAGTGCCACTTAGGCCGAAAAGAGATAGAAAATTATATATAAAATAAGTTCGGGGGTAATAGGACTTTAATAAAGATTAGGTGTGTCTCAGAAATTTTGGGCGTAAGTTGGGGGTACTTGTGCATTTCCCCACTAAAAATAAATGAAGTGAAACTCATTTACTATTTTTTAAAATTATTTTTTAATTATTTTCATAATATTTAGCATTAAACAGTCCTAAATATATGATAAGAGAAAATATATCTTAAAATTTAAGGGAAACATAATGAGATAGTTGTTAAGAGTTCACATCGGATTTTTCTAAGAGAAACATAATGAGAAGTTAACCACAGAAGAAAATGAGAGCCAAGCTAAACACATTTATAAATGGCAAATTTGTGTAAGCAAGGGTACTTAACAAAACTTCTAAAATAATATCCCAACAAAACTTAACTTAGTATAAAGATGATTGTAGCTGAATACTCAAAATCCAAACACAACAAGAAGGAAAACAGCAACACAAAACTAATATCTTAGGCCTTGTCAGCTTTGGCAGCAGTAGCAGCTGCTTGACCACGAAGACGACCAGTCCTCCTTGCTGCAATAAGACCAACCTTTTGCCCTGGTGGTGCATCACGACGGACAGTACTGGCATGACCAATATGTTGATGGTTACCACCACCATGAGGATGCTCCACAGGATTCATAGCAACACCACGAACCTTAGGCCAGCAGTTCCTCTTAACCCGGTATTTATGGTATGCGTTACCAGCTTTAAGCATTGGTTTCTCAGTTCTTCCTCCACCAGCAACCTGACCAATCATGGCTCGACATCCACTGGGCACAATCTTCTTGGATCCAGATGGAAGCTTAATCCTAATAAAAGGTAAAATTGAATACAACAATTCCATAGACTTGATAACAATAATATAACATCATAACAGACTACTACTAATACACGAACACTCATACTTCCAAAAGAAGTATAGACTTTGTTTCATGCGAAATGTGTTAAAATCAATGTAATTTGGATCAACAGGTATGCATTTCAGTATATCCAGACTTTCTTCACTACGTCGAATGAAACAGATTACGATATATTCTTCTTATGCAAATGGAAATGAATCAAGTATCAAAAGCGTCATTGACCTGAATGTCCTACATCTAATCATCACCAAACCAAAACTATCCCATAACACTAAACAGGTATGCTTCATAGATGCTAAATTAACAGTAACTCTGCTTCATCAAATGCAAATGCACACAGTTCCAATTGTAATTCACAAAAAAAACAAATTCTACAGATTCACAGACGAAGGATCAGTGCATAATTGCTTGAAATTGAGCAAACTTTACCAGTCAAGCTAATTAAAAGGAAAGCATATTAAAGCTTTCCAAGAAAACTTACCATTATCCTGAGCTGTTTTATGCAGTCAAAAAGATACCAGGTGCAATTTTCAAATCAACTACGCTTGAATTCTAGATGCTCAAGCCAATTCACTAAAATACTAAATCAATCCTAAAATTATACATTCCATAGTGAATTTCAACATAAATTCCTTTCGAAGTATCCAATAACCAAAATACAAATAAAATTTAGGTTAATCAATGACTAAAAAAAAACCATAAACAGGTAAAAAACCATACCTAGTTGTTCCGTTATCAGGGTTATGACTGATAACAATAGCATAATCACCAGAGCATCTAGCAAAAACACCACGGTCACCAACTTTATGCTCAACATTACAAACAACAGCTCCTTCAGGGATAGATCTGAGTGCAAGCACATTACCAACCATAAGATTAGCTTTTTTCCCACAGTAAATAAATTGACCAGTATACATCCCTTCTGCAGCAACGAACAACTCTTTCTGATGCTTATAACGGAAAGGATGACGGAATGTCATCCGTGCCAATGGTGCACCCCTACCTGGATCAT